TAAAGTAACTAATATATACTTTTACCTTAAATTATTAACGTATATATATAGTAAGTGGCCTATTATAGTAAGTAGCCTACTTCCTTATTATACTTTAAAGGGTACTTTTCTAACTATTTTTTAAAAATCTAAATCTTCTTTAAAATAGATATAACTTTCTATAGAGGTACTAATAAAGGTTAGACAGTAAGTACAAATATTATAGAAATTGTTATCTAACCCTAACCCTATACCCTAACTTTAACTATTATTTATTAAAATAATAAGAAAAAGTCAAGGTTAAGCTAGGATAGTAATATCTATAATATTTTTCTAGAGATCTAAGTCTTATTATTATCTAATAAAGAAAACTAATCTTTTTTAGTTATATATTTACTTTTTAATAAATAGTTAAGAAAGGGGTATTCTCTATATAATACAGAAGTAGGCTACTTACTATATATATGTATTATAAGTAGTTATAGTAAAGTTATATTTTACTAGTTATTATATATACCTAGTATCTAAATACTTATAAGTAGCTACTATATAGTAGTAATAACTACTCTTTAGTAGTATACTATATCTTATATAGTAAGTACTACTTTTATACCTCTAAAAGTATATAATTATATAAATATACTATAGATCTAAGAATCTTTAGCTATAGATATTATAGTAGTTAAAAGTATAACTATATTACTATTACTTTTTTGTTAATTACTATAGTAATTTACTTAGTACCTCTGTTGTATACCTAGGTGTTAGACACTAATAGTTTAAATAAGATTCTTAGATTTTCTATAGCCTTCTTTACCTATAGGTAAGTAGTTATAATCTTATTATAATATTCTATTACTAATACTTTAGTAGACTTATATACCTTAATTATCTTAATTAAGTTAAGAAAAGCTTACTTAATATTCTTAGTAATATATTATTATAAGTAATAATGTATATAAATCTAGAGTTATAGTCTATTAGTAGTAAAGCTAACTTATATTTACTATAGCCTTATTTAAATAAGTAAAAATCTAATATAATTTAGTTATTAACTTTTATAAAGTTAATTACTTTTTATAGTTAGTAATATATTTACTAACTTATTTTACTTATTATATAGACTTTACACTAGTAAGTAAGTATCTTAAGTATATTACTATAGATTTATACTTCTCTAGCTTTTATAGTTATTTAGTAAAGTATATACCCTCTAGGGTAACTAAGGTAGTTATACTAATAGTCTACTTTTACTAGCCTTATATATTAGTAGAAGTCTAGCTTTACTTTATTACTAGGTACTATAGTAGTTAAATATACTATATATAGTCTTTTACTTTTTAAATTAACTTACTTTATACCTTATTAGCTTATAAATTTATATTTATTAAATACTAAGAAGTAATTATTTACCTTATAAATATAGTTATTAGATAGGCTATTATTTTACTACTAATTATTATATAACTTACGTAGTATATATAATACTAGGTTATAAGAATATAATAGGTAATAAGTAATATTATATAATATAATAGTTATATTATAGTTATTTACTTTTACCTTAATAATAGTGTTACCTTATCTCTTAATTAGTATTATTACTTTATTAGCCTAGATAAAGTTATTTAGTTTTACTAGTAATATATAGATAAATTATTAGTGTAAATAAAATATATAAAGTATTACTCTTAAATTAAGGATAATATAGTCTTTAAGTAGATATATACTTACTATAAATACTACTAACTATATAGATAATACCCTTTTTCTTATTTATATTATAAATAGTTCTTACTTTACTTCTTTATTAGGCTATTTCTAAGCCTTTTCTACTATATTTATTTTCTTTAATATCTTTTATATAGTAGTAGCTAGTATATCTTCTTTTTTAAGCTTCTTCTTTATATATTAGTTAGTTAATAATTTATATATATAGTTAATTATCTTTTATTATAGCCGTTATATAAACCTTAGCTATACTTTACCTATAAAGTAATACTTTATAAGCTTATAGTCTATAAGTTTATATAAAGGGCACTTAATAAATTTATATAAGGTATATTCTTTATAAGGCCTATAGACTAGTTTCTTTCTAATTTAGTCCTTATTATTATAATAAATTACTATAGTAACTAGGCTAAATACTCTCTATACTACCTTTACCTATAGTTACTTTAGCTTTACTATAATATAGGCCTAATTTTTAAAGGTTATATTATAATACAGTAGTATATTAGTATTTACTAAGGTTTAGTTACTAGTTTAATATAATTTAATTTATATAGCTAGTAAAGTATATATTAAGGCTTTTATTAGTAGTAAGAACTATTTACTAGTTTTTTTTACTAAATACTACTTAATATAAATACTCTTTTATATAGTAACCTCTTATTTAGCTATTTACTTCTCTAGCTTTTTTATATTTATAATCTTATAATCTATTACTTTCTTTATAACCTTCTTATATTTAGCTATAGCTAGCTTCTTTTCTTTATATAATAGTATACTAACTATAGCTTTAAGGTTCTTTATTTGTATATACTAGATATTAAGGTTTAAAGACCTTATATATATAAAAATAAGATAATAATATAATAAAGAAGTAAAATATATATTTTAGTATTAATAATACTATATAGACTATATACACTAGATAGAAAAATAACTACTTAGAAAACAGCTATATATACTATATAATAATAATATTTATATATAAAGAATAGGCTTTTTAAGTAAGACCTCCTTCTTCTCTAAGGAAATTAAGAACATAGTTCTAGGTTATATAAGGTAAATAAATAAAATAATACCTTACTATAGGTAAAATAATACTTTATAACTTAACCTACTTAATAACTTACTTAATAACCTACCTAATAACCTACCTAATAGCCTAGAATACTAGAGAAATCCTTAGAATGCCTAAGAAATAAGTATAAGTAATCCCCTTATATCCTTAGGTCTAGTTAGCTAGTTAGATCTATAAGCTTTTCTATATCTATAATAATATAATACTTTTATATCTTATCTTCTATCTCTTATTTATTTTATCTTTAACCTTATTTACCTTATTTATCTTTAAAGATATATATATAGGCTTATTATTATTATAGTAAATTACTATAGCTATAAAGTCTATAGTTAATTAGATCTATATTACTAACTTTTTAACTATCTTCTTATTACTTTTATATTCTTAGTATTCTATATTATAAACCTTTTTATTATATTTAAGCTACTTAATACTTTCTTTACTAAGTTATAATATCTTTATTACTTAGGCTTTATTTAGTAATAAGGCTAAAGATTTCTCCTCTATATAGTCCTAGATCTATTAGGTAATAGCTAATTACTTTATTATATAGTCTAATAACTTTAATGCCTTTAGTTAAATACCTATTAACTTTATAGTCTAGATCTAGGCTATATTAGTAATTAATAAGTTAATTTCTTTTTATGTACCTAATAATAATATCTTTTACCTTAATTAAGCCTATTATTTACCTTAATTAGTAAAGGTTCTTAGTATAACTATAGAGGTAGCTAACGTATTAGTTATAATAAAGGTTAATATATATATTATATATATACTATATATTACTTTAATTAATATTAATTAGTAACTTACTAGTTAGACTATTAATTATTAAAGTATATAGATATAGTAGTTAATTATAATAATATCCTTAGTTAATTAAGTATATATTAATAGTATATTTATTTCTTAAATTTACTATAATTACTATCTTAAATCTATAGCCTTTAACTAATATATTTATTATTTAATTACTACTTTTTAAGTAAATAAATCTATCTAGCTAGTAATAGTAATATTTAACTTATAATTATATATAGCTAATTACTATACTTTAATAAATTAAATCTATAAATAGCTTTAATCTAAGGGAGTATATTAAAGTATAGTAATTAGCTATATATAAAAGTAAGTTAAATATTACTATTATTAGATAAATAGATTTCTTTACTTAAAAGTAGTAATTTAGATAATAAATATATTAGTTAAAGGCTATTAATTCTTAGTAGTAATTATAGTAAATTTATAAATAAATACACTATTAATATATACCTTATTAACTAAGGATATTATTATTAAAGTATATAAATACAGTAGTTAATTATAATAATATCCTTAGTTAATTAGGTATATATTAATAGTGTGTTTATTAGTAAATTTACTATAATTACTGCCTAGAATTTATAGCCTTTAACTAATGTATTTATTATCTAAATTACTACTCTTAAGTAGGGAAATCTATCTATCTAATAACAGTAACATTTAACCTACTTTTGCGTATGGCTAATTGCTACACTTTGACAAATGTGGCCTGCCGTAGGGCAAATGTTGCTAACATCTGGTTAGCTAGGTAGGCCTACCTAAAAAGGGCGAAACACATGACATAAGTATTTCTACCCCTAGCTGCCGCATATCCCTTTAAGTGCAGATGGACCTCACTAACCCCCTAGTGGACCCACTCCCACTTTTACCCCTCACTTTTGGACATACATGACAGTACAATATTATTTTCTTAGCAACTACCACTAATTTCAACATTATCACCAACATCATCAGTAAAATCACAATGTCTTCTAATCTAGATACCTCTATTTATAGCACTATTTACGTAGAGGCCTTGCTAGAAGACCTTGCTGTTGCCTACCTAGATAACTGTTGCCTAGAGCAGTGTAATAACACAATAGTCTGGCCTAACGAGGCTCCAGTAGAGCTGCTTAGACTCTAAAGTACCGTTATATAAAGGTGGAGATTGTTAGTACCTCTGGCATAGGCAAAACGCTATATAACTAGAAGTACTATAAAACCATTGGTTATCAGACTTAATTGCTGTAGTCTGATTTACCTTACCCCTCACGGGGGGTTAGTGAGGTCCATCCGCACTCAAAGGGATAGCGGAAATAGGTGATAGTCACATAACACACACACAAGAATTATCGCCGTGTCCATTTGCTGTGACAGAAAAAAGCCCTAATATAGGTATTAATCACTAGAAACACCTGTCCCAAAGCCCTCCGCGCCTCGCGAACCCCAAGCTCTCCACAAACGGACTCAGCCGGCACCGTCCAAGATTGTCGGCGTGGCACCCAAGCAGCGGTACCACCCGGTCGTTAACAAGCACACGTACCATTTCCTCCTCCAGAGAGTTACACCTCATCTTCTCTACGTACATGCGCGCCGCGAAAGGCACCAGTCTGCTCGAAAACCCCCTGGTCTCTGACACAGACATCCGCTGTGTTGTAGATAGCTTTGGTGTCTTGCTGTATAGGCCTAGTGCGCCATAGATACTGTACATATCATTATCGTGGGTAAAGTCAGCGTATAGCTTCCTATTAAGTGGAAATGTCGCTGGGTTTGAGGTAAGCGTTGAGTTGGTTGATGTGTGGTCCACCACAGGCTTCTGCGTTAGACGCGCAATAAGCTCATTAGTGAAACCTACACCCTGCGTCGGCCCAAGCGGGTTCCCTTCGTGAAAGCGGTAATATTTATCCAGTGTCTGGTAGTATTCAAAGTCCAGAAACTCCTCTAGCGTAAAGAGGTTACAGAACTGTGACATTTTTCCGTTCACAACTGTATTAAAGGGGCATAGCTCCATAAAGGTAAGGACGTCTGCAGCTGTTAGACGTGCGCCAGGTAGGTTATGGTTTAGGCGGTCTATAATTGGACGTGTAAAGATATTACGCCATTTAACCCGCGCCGCTTTGCCTAAGTTAGAGTGTATGTCATGCTCAAAGGCAGTGCAGAGGCCGTGCTTTAGCGTGTTATTAACACCGTGGGCTTCAGGGATAATAAGCATGTCCCTCTTATGGCCGTCGGTAATAGAGCCATAGAAACCTTGTATCCAATTATGGCCAGACTCAATTACACGCTCCTGGCCAGCAGCTCGAATGAAGGGTTTGTTCATAGCAGCAAGCGCTTGGTAGCGTTTATGGAACGCTTTACCCGATTCGATAAGCTCCCTCTCACCAAGAGGTGTGAGTTGTTCAGTGCCTAAGGTGTACTTATAGGTCTTGATAAACTCGTAGCCTCTGCCGTATCTAGTGACGCTTGTGTGTATGCGGTGAACGAGTTCCGCAAATTTCTCCGCCATGACTCTAATAGGATCCCGAGCGCCGTGCCGCGACAGGACCTGGGCAAAAGTAATTTCGCAACCGGGAGGTATTGCAGCGCTGATTTCAGATGGTTCTGGCTCTGAGAAGAAAGGTGAATAAGGGCCCCAGAGCTGCTGGATGTTCCGAGGACGGCTGTGTGATGGCTGGCCGCTGACAAAACTAAATTGTGATTAGTTTCCAATTCCACACATATAAAGGATTAGAGCAATAATGACAGGACTCACCTGAAGGCGGCCAAGGCTAACAAGAGTAGGGTAGCAAAAGCCATGGCGATATTTATGAATAAGGAGAGTCAGCGTTTGTGGACTGGTGGTATGCTGGCCTCCCGACACTTGTCAACCCCTTCTTTCTCGCCTTCCTCGTCTGAGATAGCATTATATTTATGTGCCTTCTCTTCGACGAGATTCCTAACGGATTCGTGCATAGTATACCAAATTAGCGCATTCGGCGACCCCTATCGTCGTAATGGAGCCGATGGACGACCAAAGTTAGGGAAAGGGGGTCCAAAAGAAGCAGAGTGGTTCTTTGAGTTTGTGAGCTTCAGCATACATGTGCCCATTCTTCCAGGGTCTGATTATATTTATATGGACATGGTGCATCAACTATAGGTTTTACTATAAATTAACTTATATATATAATAGAGGCGTTGTTAAAGTTTGTAGGAGTACGGATAATTTCAAGAAACCTAAAAATCGGGCCCGTTCATGACAACCGGTTAAACATAATAGTATTAGGGTGGCCTATGAGGTGCCTGTATAAAAACCTGCGGCCTCGCCGATTAAGGAAGAACTACTATACCCCACCCTACTTATGAACAGGCCCTACATTTAAATACCCATCACAACCCATCATCACCATTATCACCACCACTATCATCACTTATTTCCTCGGGCTTGCCGCCTACCCATATGCAACTTTCGGCCTCGCTAGATAATTCAGATGCGCTGGATTCATGTAGACTATCTATATTACTAGTATCTGTATTTTATACCTACTAGATTTGTTTAATAGTAGTAAAGGTGCTATTAGGTAATAAGGGGGCTTTCTTCCTCTTCCTATATAACTACTAGTCCTTAAAATAGGTCTATAATATATTAACTTACCTTTCTAGAAGGGCTAGTCTAGATGCCTACTTATTATACCCCTTTTATATCTTTCTAGATAGATAATAAATAGTATAAGTATTTAACTTATTTTTACTTAGCTAAGTTAACTATTATAGTTAATACTATAGATTAGTAGACTAATAAGGGGTTAACTATAGGATAATAGTTATAGCTTTATTCTATTGTTAGCTACTAGGCTAGCTAGTCTAGCTAGTAGTCTACTAGGCCTTTAATACTAAGGGGTTAAATAAAGGTTACCTTATAGTAACTAGCTATAATCTAGCTACTCTCTAGCTACTTCTAATATTCTACCTTATAATAAATACCTTATAAGCCTTAAAATAATACTTTAGAAATATCTTTTTACTAGTAATGTCGTGGGGTTAGGTGCTATAGTCTAATAAATCACGTAGTGGTCAATTCAAGGGATAGATTAATAGGATAGCCACCTACGTCTTCAAAAAGGGATTCACAGACCTAATAAGAGGTCAAAGAAGGAATTATTAATTATATATACTTGTTATTAGTTATTATTAGTAGCCTTAATACTCTATACTAAAATACACTACTAGTTATTACTATATATTTATTTATTTAGTAAAATTTGCTTTTTTTATAATTACTTTATTAATTTATACTTCTATTTTAAGGTCTTTGTAGATTAGGTCTAAGAATAGTAAGACCTATCTATTAATATATATATTGTTATTATTAGACGTTATTGTAGGTGTAGGTGGTTTTCCTATGTTTTACTATTCTGTTTTTCCTTTATTAGGTAGCCTAGATGCCTTGCTCTTTCTTAGTAATAATTAACCCTATAACCTATTTATCTAGATATTTAATCTCTCTATAATAGGCCTACTTTAATAGGCTAAAGATAGCTATATCTAGAGGCTAGAGGACAGTAGAGAAGTATAGTAGTAGAAATAATAGATAGATACTATACTACTAGTATTACTATATAAAATTAATAGATATATAGCTTTAATAGGTATCTAGAACTAATAATTTAGTGGTATCTAGCTAGCTAGGTATAGTCCCTAGAATAAAGACTTTTTCTAGCTAATAAAGAGTAGTCTTCTTAGTTATCTAGCTATTATTAGTAACTATAAATCAATATTTAGTATATCTAGATTAGTTAAATAGGCTAAATAATAAAAACTACTAAGTCTAAAGTAACTTATCTTTATATATAACTATAGAGGACAGAGAGGTCTTAGTAATAGATATATACTTAATAATAGATATCTATTACTAAAATCTTAGCTACTTTTTCTGTATTACTTATAATACTATAGAGTCTAGGACTAGTCTATTAGCTTCTTTACCCTCTATAATACTAGTCTTATCTATATTCTATTAGTTAGATAAATAAATACACTAGATAGTAAGGATACTAGTTAAATAATAATAAGAATGCTAGATAACCTTAGGAGAATAGACTACCTAGTAATAAGTATCTATTACTCTAGATTACTTTATTCTAATAGAAAGGTCTTACTACTTAAATTAGTATATCTATATTCTCTCTAGATATTACTACCTATTACCTAGTCTGAACTCTACTAGGCTCTTTACTTATTAATAAATAAAGAATCTACGAAAGAATTCTTAGAGATATATATAGGTAGCTAGATTATCTTCCTAGGTCTAGGGTAGTTATTAATAGTTAGCCTAGGCAGTATCTCTAGACTAATATTATAGACTTATAGTTAGTAATTTAACAGTAGGGTTTCTACTAGAAATAAGCTAGGGTTAATACTTAGTTTATAGTAGGGTAGGCTTTACTAGCTTATTAATTAGTTAGTAATTAGTTAGGTATTTAATAGTTATAAAGGTAGCTTATATAGCTTCTTGTTAATAAGATTACTAAGGTTAAATATTAAAAGATATTTAAAGAATATATTATAAAGTTAATTACTAAAGAGCTATAAAAGTCTATTCTTAAGTATATCTAAGTCTATCTTATATATAAGTCTTAATTTATTATAAGATAATATAGCTAACCTTTAGATTTACTTTTTTAGCTTTACTAGTAGATTTATTAGTTAGGCTAATATCTTATTAATAGCTAGTGCCTTACTAGGCCTTACTTATTACTAGTCTATAAGACTAGCTATTACTAGTAATAGCTCTAGCTCTTAGTTAATTATTAAATCTATTACTTATTTAACTATATTATAATTCTTTTTAATAAGTAATAGTTATAAGTAATTATTATCTTTATATAAGGTAAGTACTTAGTAAATACTAGTAAGTACTTACTTTAGTAATTACTAGTAATTACTTTATCTTTATAATTACTTTCTTTTCTTTATATAACTTATACTATATATTATAACTTAATAAGTTATAGGTAATATTACTTTACTAGATAAAGTAAGTAGTAAGTAGTATAGTATTTATATAGGACTAATAATAGGTTAGACTAAGATAACTTATTAGGTTAAAAAGAACTATAGTATAAGTTATATAATAATAAAAAGGACTAATAAATAACAAGTTGTCTAAAGTAAAAGACTAATAATACTAGGACTAGTCTAAGGTAAAGAACTAATAACACTAAGAGTAGTCTAAAGTAAAAGACTAATATTTAGATATTAGTCCTAGATATACTAATATAATTAGAACTAATTTATAAAATAAACTTAGATATACTTAAAGATAGACTTTTATAGCTCTTTATTAATTAACTTTATAATATATTCTCTAAACATCTTTTAGTATTTAACTTTAGTAATTTAATTAATAAAAAGCTATATAAGCTACCTTTATAACTATTAACTACCTAACTAATTACTAAGTAATTAATAAGCTAGTAATATTATACTATAGAATACTTATTCTATAGAGGATTTACCCTATAGTTTATAGGATATTAACTAGCTAATAGCTAGCTAATGCCCTAGGAATATTAGGAACATTAACAGAGGATTCTCTAGGAATTCTCTAGGAATTCTCTAGGAATTCTTAGAGAATCATTTAGCTGTTTAAACCTAGAAATTACTACTATTTATAGATAAATTCTCTACCTATTTAGAAAAAGAAGAGGTTTAAATTTACTATTAATATACTTACACTAATGTATAATAAGTAAAGCTTACCTTACTATTAACTAAGTATTAACCCTAGCTTATTCCTAGTAGAAACCCTATTATTAGATTACTAACTATAACACTATAGTTCTTCTAGGTCTAAGGGGTTATCTTAATCTAACCTATTGTTAGTTCTATATAAATACTATACTACCTACTAGTTATCTTGTCTAGTAAGGAAATATTACTTGTAACTTATTAAGTTATAATAACTAGTTAGTATCTTTAAGCTAATAATAGAGAGTAGTATATATAATGCCTTAGATATAAGTAGTCTAGCTAATAGAATACCTAGTAGTAATATACTAAAGGGCCTATTAAAGCTAATATATAGTATAATACTTTATAATATAATAAATAAGGTAATTTAAAGAAATACCGTTATTTAGTAATATATAGTAACTATTATTATAGTTCAAAAAAGGTAATAGTAATAATAATAAGGGCTAGAGATATATTTTTTGTCTTTTTATATATAAAGTCTATTTATAAGTTAGGTAGAGTATAGTATAGGAATATAGGTTATATTAAACTAAGTAATAATTATAACTATTTTTAAATAAATAAATCTTTCTATTAATTAATCTATTTAATTAAAAGCTATCTAAAATATACCTTATAAGTCCTAATACTTATTATAAGGCTTAGGAGGCTATATTTATTAAAGTGTAGTAATTAGCTATACACAAAAGTAAGTTAAGTATTACTATTATTTAATAGATAGATTTCCTTGCTTAAAAAAAGTAATTTAGATAATAAATATATTAGTTAAAGGCTATAAATTCTAAGCAGTAATTATAGTAAATTTACTAATAAATACACTATTAATATACACTTAATTAACTTAGAATATTATTATAATTAACTACTATATTTATATACTTTAATAATTAATAGTCTAACAAGTAAGTTACTAATTAATATTAATTAAAGTAATATATAGTATATATATAAGATATATAC